AAATTCAAGGAGCTACAAGTCCAAGACGAAGAAGCTGCCGGTGGATCAGAGGGTACAATGCCAGCGGAAGACGAATCAGTTGAGGATTCACGTCCTCTCACCGCTGCCGAACAGGAAAAGCAAGAGAAGGAAGAACGCGCACGTTTAGCCGCCCAACGTCGCGCTAAAATAATGGCACAAATGCAAAATGCCCAAAATAATTTTATGAAATCGAATGCCGAAATGTTTGCTAGCGCCAACGTACAGCCGAGCAGTCGTGATCCGTCGACGGCAATGGAATGGCAAGAAGATGTTTCGATGTTGGACGAAGAAGGTGCAGTGGCATATAACTCCGTAGCTTGTCTCGGGGTGGAGCGGCGCTTACAGCAGCCGGAAGAGCAGAGTTTTAAATGTATTCTATGTTTTGAGGATTGTACCGTTAGCAAGGATGGACCGACACTAGTATACTCAGCATTCGTGCAGAAATCGAAAGTGTTGAAGCCTGAAACGAAATATGAATATTCGGTGCATACGAGTAGTTGCGGCCACGTAATGCACGTTGATTGCTGGCAGGAGTACTACAACAACGAAGAATCGAAAGAGCAACGTCGCCCACATCGCGGTCGTCAGCCCTTTCAGCAAACACCACAGAGCACTGAATTTCAATGCCCCTATTGCCGTTGTCTAAGTAACTCGGTACTTCCGATATGCGCGCCACTATCGAAGTACTCCATGCCTTTGGTTTTGCATAAAGGCGACGAATTGTTCCCCATAGATATGTGGATTGAAGTTCTGAAAACTCTCGGCGATGAATTGAGTATGCCGGCGCTTGAAGGAAATATCGATCGAGTTTTGCCACCGGCCCATTCAATTTTGTCCCGCGCAAATCTGTATGCTAACATCGCACAATTCGAGCGCATCGCACAACCCATAGATAAAGTAGAGTTGCCGACAAGCTGGACTAATTATTTACAACATTACATAAAATCAGTGCGTCAGCATTCACCAATCGATTTTGAGACTTCGGAGAAGGAAGGACTGCTGTGGCTGTGGAATACATGCATCTATACAGTACAAGCGTTGGAAGTTTACCTGCGTGCAGTGGGTAAGCCATTCAAAAGCGAAATGTCCATACGACACAAAAGTTGCTTAAGTGGGCTAATACGTGCAAGCTGTTTGTATGGCATCAATCTGACTTGTACAGATGTGAAAAATTTGAAGGAACCAGCCGCTGAATTGCTGGACACAATCTTCAAACAGAAAGGCAACTCGGTAGTGGAGTGGAACTGTTTCAACATGATGGTGCAAATGATATGCATGGTTCCAAATCTACTCTTCTCATCATCGCGTAAGTATCAAAAATGAAAGTTTTGCTTGCAGATTTACTAATTTGGTGAAATTTCCTATTATAGAAAAAGCCGTTGTCGTCAACGGCAGCATTATGGACTTCTACGCAGTGCAGTTATTCTTCCTAGCAAATATGGTGAAGGCAATCGTGCTTTTCGAGCCATCTACATCGCACAGCGGGATGGAAATGGATGTCGATGAAGAATATGATCAGGAAGTGAAGCAGTTACCACAAAAAGTACGCGATAACATTGCGAAATTCTACCGCAAATATAATTTTGCAGCTCGCCGTCAATCATGCACGTCCGCCCAACAACTGGGTCGATCCAGGCCACAACCCCAAACGCCACCGAAAACGGAGGAGACCGCTACACAAGAAACCCAATCGACAGCAGAACCAACTGCCGATGCTGAGGCGTTAATGGGTGAATATATTGCCGACGATGAGTTCAAAGCACCATGCGATTTGAGTACCATTGCCGCGCTTTATGATCACATCAAAATGGAAATGCGCGAATTTTTGCGCTGCTGTTGTCTGTTCTTTCACTTTATCACTGAAGTAGAATTTCCGGATGAGCTCAGCTACACGGCCAGTGACACATACGAGAACATGTGCAAATACTTAGGACTGCAGACCGGTTTGGAAACATATTTCGATAGTGAAGGTTGCTATGCATCCATTCTGGAGATATTTGCCTCGCATCCCGATATTGTTTACTGCGACGTGGCAACGAAAAAGAAGCGCTGTGGCAGAGAATTTGCTGTGGTGCCATGCACGCGTCCGGTGCCCAGATTGGTGGATCTACCCGAAGATTTCAGTGATCTTATAAACAGTGTTTCGGACTTCATTTGCCCAAATAGCGAACGTGAGGAAATGAAAACACCAACGATGTGCTTGGTATGTGGCAAAACTATATGCGCACAGTCATTCTGTTGCCAGCCAGAATTAGATGGACGTACTGTAGGCGCTTGCACTTATCATGCCCACTTTTGTGGTGCGGAAATTTGTGTTTTCCTACGCGTACGCGATTGCCAAATTGTCTATTTGGGACGCAATAAGGGATGCTTTGTATATCCGCCCTATCTTGACGAATATGGTGAGACTGACCAGGGTTTGAGGCGAGGCAACCCATTGCGCTTATGCCCAACACGCTATAGTAAAATACACCTGTCCTGGCTGGGTCACGGATTGTACGAGGAAATTGCTCGATTAAATGATAATACGTCCGTTGTGGCCACACAGTGGCATCACATGTAGTCGTTTTGGTGGAGGCCAGCACAACGATGTCGGGCATAGAAATATACATACATAGGAAGTGACGACGAAGAAGAAAGTATATACGACACTGAGATGGCGCAAAAAAGTTGTCAACTTATGTGATTTATGTGAGCTAATTATATGAAACTTTTCGGGAAAATTACATTACTTTCTCCAACAACAGCTTGGAAAAAGCGAAAGAAACTATTGGAATTTTATTCCCGTTACGAATGTATAGTTTTGCTTTTTGAATTTGTAAAGAACTATTTTTTTATTTTATTTATTATAAACTACTTATAATGAATGCAGTGGAGAGGCGCTGAAGTATCTGTTAGCCAAAAATATGAAAATCCTGAAGGGCAGTTTAGTTTGTAGTGAATAAGATAAAATCGCAACGCTTTTCAAGATACAAACATACATACATACATAAATATATACCATAAACATTATCTGTGACTGTTTAACTCAGCTAAATAAAATTAAAAATTTGATCGAAGAAACTGAAACACATGATTAGAAAACTAAACAAAAATAAAATCTAACTGCACACAGTACTTTTCTGGCACTCGTTAGACCTTTCGCTCTATATGCAATACAAATACTTACAATAAAAATGTTAATAATTACAATTTAAATATAACGACAAACAATTGAAATAAAAAAAGGAAAATCGAAATAAAACAAAAACAATGAAAAAATACAAATACCACTTGTGTTTAAATTCTTTTTAATACGCAACATCTAACTTAGAAAAAGTCCTTTTTAACAGCGGTCCCTCCATTGGTGTAACATCATCAAGACGCACACCACAAATTGGCGGAGTAAGTTCTAAAATATTCAGTCTTATCATGAGTTTGATTTTCCCCGAACCGCTTCACTTTTCACTTGTCGTTTCCATGTATGTACTATGGGCGCGTGAAACATTTAGTAGTCCGTAACATCATGCGGACTGCGCCCCTCGCGTCGGGAAAGGAGGGTAAAAAGGTTGGCATTATTTATTTATTATTTTAAAAATTACTTACTTAAAAATTACAAAATAAGACTTTCTTCTCTACCAAGAAAAGTTGCTAAGCAAATAGTAAAATGTAAGTGAATAGATACTCTGCCAAAGTCCACATGAAATACATTTTTTTTTACTTTGCTTCTAAAATTGCCACGCCCATTTCTAGAAAATTTTTCGATTTCAAAAAAGGTTGCTGAACAATGTTGTTAAGGAAAGACTATTCTGCCGAAAGCGACAATAAAAACTTCATTTTGTTAACTTTAGTGCTAAAACTGCCTCGCCGATTTTTATGCGTTTTTCGCCTTAAGCCAATATTTTCTCGAACAAAAATTTTTACTGGATGGGTAACCTACTGGAATCCGCGATAAAATTAACATTTTTGCAAAAACACGTTTTTTGGCACCCTGCTACTTTAGTATGAAAGAAAAACACAAATTAATTAAGATTTTTATTTTGTTTACGATTGTTTAATCTTTTAAATTTATTGTTAGATCGATTTTTTATCAGAACCGTTTTGATAAAAATACTTATAAACTAATGAATATCCTACATAGTTACACTATTTATGTATATATACAATTATTTAATATTTTAAATGCTGTTTATCGTTTGCATAAAACTAAATACATAACTGTGTTAATCAAGAAGTAATTTAAAGATAAATAAGTAGTACCACCGACTAGATGCTGTTCAGGAATATTTACAATGAATTGAGGCTTAGAGGCTAGTAGTATTTTTACGAGTTCTTTATTGTTTTGTTTATTCATTAGGGCAATTCATCTAAACGCGTAAATATGTACCTCTTAACCACGTAAACCTCGTAAATTTGCTTAATTTTGTATGGAACAACGGTTTATTTACGAGGTTTACACAGTTACGAGGCATTTACGCGTTTAGATGAATACCCTGATTGTGTATGTATGTATTTTAGGGCGAGTCAATTTTATTTGATTACGCGCGTATAGCATAGGAGGGTTCTACGTGTGACTTTAAGCTAACTTGCCGAAGAAACCATGGGTCTAAAATCATTTTGGAAATTGCCAAATTGCGAAAATAGGTTTCGAACAAAATGTGAAAATTTTCACTGTTGCACTCTCTGGTGGAAGTTCTAAGAAAAATAAAAGCGCAAAACCCATACTACATGTCTTTAAAAAAAAAAAAATTAGTACTTCTTTACGACACTACCTTAAACGGCTAAGAAACCTATTTTTGCAATTTGGCAAACTTCAAAGTGATTAAAGACACAAGGTTTCTTTTGCGAATTTGCTTAGAATTATAAGTAAAATACTTCTATGCTATGTGCGCATAGTCGAAAAAATCTCCGATACAAATTGACTCCCCCTAATGCACGTATATATAAGGCGATATTTTTAACTATGCTAATGAAGTTTTGTATACAACTCTAGGTTTTGGTTTTTTGAAAATTTGCTTTCACATATAAAAATCACTTACATAGTACATACTATACATGTAATATATATACTGTAAATAGGTATTTGTTTTAAAACTATTTCGCATACAATTGTAGCGTTGAGCTAAGTTTAAAGTCCGAAGTACAATATAAATACGTTTTAGGATCTCAGATATCTTAAATTTTCATAGTTTTTTTTTTGCGGATTTTGAAAAATTACAAGTGGCAAATATTGCCGTTCGGGCTCTGAAAATTACGCATGCGGAAAATCCAAGTTTTTGTTTAACAACAAGTACAAAAAGTGTGGAATAGCAGAAGAGGAAATTGATGTTAAAAATTTCATATTTAATTTTTAAAGCTTGCCACTCAATGAAATTACAATCTGATATTAAAATAATATTAGATCTTTTAACGATGTCTTCTTCGAGCTGAAGCGCTTAAAGTGGACACTAAAAACTGTCTGGCAGTAGTCGTTGCGCTAATGACAGAAACCCCCAAAATAATCAGCTGTTAATCTTAAAACAAACTAAAATTAATTATAATGTGGTTTTCACACTTGCCTGGTAATCAGTTTACATATGTGGTAAAAATTCATTATTCTACAGTGTATTTTATTGTTGTAAACTGAATAAAAAATATAACCACATAACCACATTAACCTCATAACCAGGCAAATGTGAACAAGCACATTATTTTCCTGTTGAAAGTTTCCTGTTTTGCTGCAAAGGCGTCGATCTCTTTAAATTCTCTCTCCGTAAAGCTTATCTCGAGCCGTTCTACTATAAAAGTGCTTTATACTATGTAAAAACTTTGTGAAACGGCAGCTTTTTTGTCGTACCGAAAGTGCCAAGTCAGATGTGCAGTACCGCCGCTGTGGCTGGTGGTGCTTCCTTGACGCTGGCCTCCGTGGAAGAATTGCTCGTTGTGGCAGCTGTTGTCGCAGTCGGAGTTAGCTGTTGTTCCTTACACTGTTCCAAATTGACAATGACACAATCGTAGGGCGGTGGCGGGATTTCATGCTTCACAACGGTTTCATAACTGGGTGGCAGGTTGTCCACAATGCGCAATATATCATTTTGAGTGTTGATCTGTTGGTAGAGCAGAAAGTTTGAGTTAAAACAAAAGTGAATAGGATTTTTAAAATTAGTTGTGGGTTTGCCATGCAATTCGATTCGGAATTTGGCTCGAAAAACCAAGGCATATTGAACAGGTAGTAGCAGCAGAACAGCTGATTTGATTTTTTTTTCAAATTATTTCATCTCTAAAATGTCAAATATTCGGCCTTATCGCGAATTTCCCGTGAACTAATATTCCCAAAAATTATAAAGCAAAACAATAACAATTTTTCCCAATTTGTTATTATTTTACCTGTTAAATTATGGCAACGATTTATTCACAAGGAGTTGTTATTTTTTTCCAAAAAAAAATTTATATTGTCGAAATTTATTTGCATGTGAAACCTTTTTTTCAGCAGCTTTTGCAACACTGTTAAAAAATTCGCATACTCATAATTTTTTTATATATTTTTTTTGACACTTAAGATACCAGAAGAAGCAATAACAAAATGCTCGTAAATGTTGTTTTTGCTTAATGCTACTACCTGATTCCTATACCTTGGCTGAAACAAATTTGAATGAACCTCAAAAAAAACTTTCTCTATAACGCAACTTACATGTGGTATTCCCCGTCCATCCATTCGGTTGCCCATCTCATCGATGGGTCCCGTCCAACAGCACACACTCAACCGATGCGTCACATAACCGATAATTATCATGATCACCATTAGCAGTCCCACGCCCAGCACAAACACCAGCCATGGACTATTGGGCATATTTTGTAGATTCTTTTCCAGTTGTAATGCGAAAAGTATTAGCACCGGTACCGCAACAACACCAACTAATATATCGACAATATGGCGGCGATCATTGCTGCCATTGGCAAGATCATTGTTGTTGCTGTTGATCATGTTGCTCAAGCTGGTGGTGGAGCGTACCGTATTGATGCTATGAGCGTGCAGGGCCATCCTAAAAGAGAATAAAAGTGAAAATTGTTAGTGAATAAGAAAAAGCGACAGAAAAATGAAATGTTATGAAGGATTATGTATTCTCTAAAATTAGATAATATTAAAACATAAATCTACCAAAAATTGAAAACATTCTTATAAACCATTTTGTTACTGGAGTGTTTTCGAATCGTATTACAAAAAATATTTTTTGAAGAATAACTGCAAAACTTTCTAAAATTTTTGTGAAAATTTTTTAGTAAAAATTTTGGACTTACAATATTTTCGACCTCACTTACAGGCCTGTTCTGAACGTCACCGAAAAATTTGTAAGCGAAAATTTTATTAACAAAACTTCCCTTTTCAACTTTATTTATCGGTTACACATTTTTTTACTGTTATCAGTCACTTTAAAAGTTGGTGTTAAATAGTATACAATTTTTCCAAGTGTCTGCCTTTTGGGAAATGGAAATATTTAACGAGTTTTTAAAAGTCAAGATTTTTCATTTTGGCAGTCTAAGCACCAAAAGTCTGAAGTCAACGTGAAAAGAAGTTGCGTCATGAAAATTTTTGAATTTTGTCGAAATATCACCGATGACAGTTAAGTCTTAGGTGGATTTTTGTGTCAGAACCTTATTTTTGTGAAAAGTGCGGATAGAGGGTATTCGAATATAAGCCGGACGGACGTATCCCAACCTGGGGGCAGGTGTGGTAGAGGGGTGTTCTGTTCTGTGCCGGGAGCACTCCATCAAAACTAGGTTCCGGCTTTCGGACCACTGCAGTGTCTTTCAGGCGGAAATATCTCGATCAAGTTATCATCCAATTCATCCTCAATTACATTGGCAGTCATTAGAGGACTCACAAAGACCAAATAGGATCATAGTGTCACCAGGTGCTATACCAGAGGTACACGCATATATTAAATTGATTAAAGTTCACATGCAAATACATACATATATGTATCTGTATTTGTTTGGTGTCAACAAAATGCAAGCCAGCAATTGCGGTATTTATTGAGATACGTACCACCTAATTGCGCACTTGTATACCTTTTATTTACATTACTCATTATCTTATTATTTTAACTGTCATATTTACCAGTAGTAAACATTAATTAAATATTCTGAACAGTCATTGTGGTTTGCATAAAAATCTTACAATATACATACGAACATATACATACATATGTATATACTTTATATAAGTATTCCCCTTAACTATTTTTGGCTTGTAATGAGCTGCAAGTTTTATATGCTTAGATAGTAAATAGTATTTAGTTGCACAATGCCGCATGACCTAGCACGAGCAGCCGAGTGGCGGTGCTTATTCCAAATTTATTTGCATTTGTTGATATGGGAATTTGTTGTTGCTGGCTATGCATTGTTTTTCTCTGCTCTCAGTTGAGTCAGCTGCACGTTGCACTTATCAATGTTTAATGCCGTTATTGTGAATTTTATCTGTTAAAAACAATTATTGTTTTTGTTTACGCCAAAATGTAGAATGCGATTTTATTTACTATCATTAGCCTTTTACGTACATTCTTATGTACATATATATATACATAGGTACTAGAGTTTTACGCCACCGCCGCCCTTTTTTTTATCATTCTTCACACGCTGCCGCCAAGTTACGAAAATATCGGCGCGGCGGCGGCGTTCGGCGCCTAAGGAGTTTTGTATAAAATTTTAATGATGTATGCACATTGAAATATATCGTTTGAAGGAACTAGATACTACTCGTATAAATAACGCTATTTTACGAAATGAAAATTACATTTTTTAAGACGAGCTTTTATTACTACTTTGGCCCACTGAATAAGAATATGATCTCCGTTATTTTTCCAAAAAAAAAACTAACTCAGAAAAAAATAGGAAATACGTGTTTCGATCGAAAGCGCATTTTTTACCGCAGAAGTCAATTTTTTTCAATACTCCTTTTTTATATACTACAACAACAAGAAAGTCATCAAACTTCAGAAACTTTAACGCTAATATCTCAGAAAGCAGTTTAAACAGAAGTGCCCTTATTGCATCTAATAGCCTATTTCCACCAAAGGCTTAACTGAAGTGAAGAGGTCAGATAAGTTCCAAGAATTCCAACATGAGGTAATCGGCAAGGTTTCTTTCTTAATATTTTCTTTTTTCTTCTCGTTTGCTTCTACTTAATAGGAAGAATTACCCTCTTTGAGTTGTAATCTCCTTTTTCCAATAGGCTTAAACTGCAGTTAAGGCTTGGTGGGAATCAACTATAATTCTTCAATTATTGGAGATAAAACAAAAACAAGTTGATTTTCTTGTGAATTTTTTTCTTTAATAAAGGGTTGACTATTTTTTAAACAGACTTTTAATAAAAAGCAAAACCTATTTTTGCTAATTTTTACATTCGTAAGTTATATTATTCTTGGATCCCACAGACGTATGCAAGTAGTAGGTGGCTGTGAGAAAATTACGTTTTCTACACAGGGTTAAAGTTCCCACTTTTTTGGTGAAAATTTGTATTATTTTTCGTTACATTCGGTTATCCTTAGAAAAATTTGGCGCTTAATATTTTAGTGGAAACTTAACATTTTTTAAAAAGAGGGTCAAAAAGGTGGTAGTTGATGGGTTAAACTATTGGAAAAAAGTAGACCAGCCGCAATCAATAATTATTATTCTTTCTTATTAATTATTCTCAATTATTACTTCTTTACATTAAAATAGTACATACGGATCTGTAGAGAACATAGAGAACCATGTATGTATGTATACATAATAGAAATACCGGGTATTTTTCAATGAATTTTTATAGTAAATAAAACGCTTCAAAATAGCTTAATGCCTCTTGGAAGCATCAGTAAAATGTTATTTGCTGATAAAACATTTTGATAGTAATTGTGATAAATGTTTTTTTTTTTTATAGATAACACTGTCCAACAATTTCAAGGTATTTGTTTGAGTGGGATGATTCCAACTCAGGATGAAAGAGCTAGACCCATATAGTAAAACCTCCAAATATTTTTGCACTGGCAGGTTTTTAGATTAAGTGGAAAAAAGGGTTAACAGTGCAATCGGAGCGAAATATTGTGTTTAGGTAGATATAGTAAAATTTCATAATTTTGTTAAAAATTTTAATCCATTAGCTCTCTCATGGAAGGGTTAAAAACTTTCACTAGGGGTATTCTCAAACAAAATCGCTATACAAGAAACGTAAAAGTCCACAAAAACAAATATCTGCCCTTGAATTATGCAATGCCCGAAGCTCTGCCCGCGCGGCTTAACGATATGATTTCAAATGCAATAAATTATATAAAAAAGTAGTTAATGGCCTCGAGATTTCAGAACATGATCAACTTGTCGAATTTCGACTACATTGGCGATTTCAGTAAAAAAAATCAAAAATATTTTCGAAATAAAACTTTCTTTAGCCAAACCCATACTAAAATATTTAATTTTACTTGTTAATGAAATAGATTTTGAATTTCTAAACAGGTGGCAATCCATTTCGGAAATATTTTCGAAATAAAATCCCTTCAACGTTTGATACATTTGAATATTTCATTAAGTTGAATTTAAGTTTCTAAACAGGTGGCAACTCTCTGCAAGAATATGTTCAAAACAAAGCTTCCTTTAACCTCTCTCGCGTTTGGTACCTATATAAAAATATTTTATTTAACTTGTTATTTAAATTGAATTGAAGTTTTTGAGCAGATGGCAATCCTCTTCAAAAATACTTTTGAAATAAACCTTTCTGTTTAAAGGATTAAAAAAATATTTTGGAGTGGGGTTGTCACCTTTCTAGAAAGCTACAATTACGTTTAATAAAAAAAAAATGTATGCTTGAACAAGCTTTAACACTAACATATCTTTGAGTAGGATTGCCTATCTATCAATTAAGGCAATCATTTTTATTATTCAAACCAATAAAATCAAATTTAATTGAAAAATTTTAAGTGGAGGCTTTTATGTCAAATTGTTTTAAAAAATGCATTTAATTTGAATAAAATTGATAAATAGATTTTAAGAATCATTTCAACATTTAACTTCCTATTAGCCTGCAAATTGTCACACTTGCAGTGGGTCTACCTCGAGGAGCTCACAAGAATAAAAAACCCCACATTTTTTATTTATTTTTTATATTTAGATTTTTTTTTTTAATTTTTACTATTTAATAATTTAATTAACGGAAGAAAAAATTCAACAACTTAAAAAAAAAAAAAACAAAAACAAACCTTTCATGCATTCCAGAACAACTTTAGTCATCGGAAATTAGATTATTTTTGTAAAAAGAGACAAAACTAATTAATATATTAATTTTCTAGCTCTTGACAGTTTAAAACAGTGGTTCAGATGAATTTATTGAGAAAAATTATAGGTAATTTTTTTTTGTCAAGAAATGTCAAGCACTAAATTTAAATGGTTGTAAATCAAAAATATGCAAAAACAACATGCATTTGTTGTATTGCATTGCAATTGCATGAGATTCTCAGCGCTATTTATTTGTATAAAATATGACCAAATTGGAAGGTTACTCATACGCCATGGATCGTACGTGTTCATAGACACTCGCGCGTTTTCCTGAAAATTTAACAATTAATTATAAAAAGCGCAATATATCTGCCTATTTTTTATTATTTTTGGCTATAGAATACTTAGTTCATTATATTTTTTTTAACAGCGGTGGCTAGCAGTGGCGATAATCGGAATAGTGTACTTTGCTTAAATATGTAATTTTTATGAATTCCAACGTGTTTAAAACAGAAAATAATTGTCAACATATTTTGTTACAGTACCTTTTCCAGGACTTATTAATAATTTAAAAAAATTCAAGAGCTAGATCTGTTGTGATAGAATTAATTTTAAAATTTTTTCATATTTGGATCTTTAGTTTGTTTTCATGACCATATTCTACTCGATACTAAATGAGAAACTAAAAATTTGACCTCAATCTAATGCAAATTTAAGTAAAAGTGACATTCGCTTTTAATCTGATCAAAACAGTTCTGGTAATTTAACTTTATTGTTTGCGAAATGCATTCGATATGAA